TCTCGGATGAAGTTCCGCGAGAGTGCAGTTGGCAGAATTCGCACGAGCAGAAGCCTCTCGAATACCTTTCCCATTACAGGAAGGGGACTGATTGGCTGTGGCTCGCGGCGATTGTGAGATCCTTACCGGCTTTCGGAAGTACGGAGATACTTGCGTATTTCCAATTTTCCGGAAAGTACCGCTGTGTAATGCAGCTGTTGTAGATTCACGAAAGCTCTGTGTTCGTTACGTCGTTACATCTTCTGCCTTATAAAATGAATATTTTTAACAGTGGTAAGCACATTTCTGAGGCCACGTGCCCCGTTGGGAAGGACGTTCGCGAATTAACTAAAAATATTCATTTTACACTGCAGGAGGTGTAACAATGACCTAATGTCATCGGGTAGAGAAAAACCAAAGTATAGATTAGCAGTGTTGCTTGTTCGGACTTATAAATGGGCCGCCCCGTGCCTGAAAGCATTTTTCGCCGAGTGTTCGCCGGAGGGGTTCACGGAGTGTGACGAGTGCCAGGCAGGTACTCGGACCTGCAGTACCCGTCGTCAAGAACACGCAACGCACCTTAGAGCAGGGTGCGGGGCCTGGCTCAGGACATTCACACGACGCAGCGCACCACGGGACGTCACCAAGTCATGCGGACCACGCACATGAGGACACGAGGGATCTCGGCATTATGACTAGTATGACACGCCTTGTATATGGACTATTCTGAGTATTGTCGCAATAAGAAGAAGATGTACTGAAATTGTTATTGTTGTTGGTATCCCGCCTATCCTTTAGATATAACACCATGTGTTATTTAAGGTGAACTATCTTTGTACATTGTTGGTTTGATCAGTTTTCCTCCATTAATTTAAGTTCCATAAAGTTATGAATGAAATCGCTCTTCACAAGCCTTTTTTTACCAGACTGAAACTTCAGCATGATGTTTTCCGTTTCCTTAAAATGTGGCTTAGACCGCTTTACTTTGATTTATAGCGGAGCCTCAAGGGCACGATCTGGAAGGGGAGAGAGGCATTGTCATCCAATCGGTAGTTCCAATACCAACAATTTTAATCGTAAGAAAACTCCCGATTGGATTACAGTGCCCCCTCTTCATCCAGCTGTTGACATTGAGGCGTCACTATGTTTAAATCGGAATATATTGCACTTACCCACACATATTCGATCATTAGCGGAAATAAATGACAGAAAATTGAACGTAATGTTGCATACACTACATAGAAATAAGTAATAGGATAGAAAATTTAGTCTGCATATAGCGCGTTGTATATTGTTATAAAAAAAGAGGAAGGGATTTTCCCACAATGTTTTAAAACCAGCTCCTGATTTAAATTGAAAATATTCGTGGTAGTGCTGTCACTACTTAAAAAAGTTATACTATTCACTAATTTAATTATGTTATCAATTAGCTTCAATCTTTTAGAAGGATATTCGTACAGGAAAATACTAAAACTAAATTCGTCAACTTGAGAAAATACGGAACTAATGAAGGTATAATAAATTTCGTTGGGAGAACCTCATTCTTGATTTTTACACCTTGGATATTAGCTGGGCGGTTGGGTTAGGTGACAAGATTACCCGCAATAAAAACAAATTCGTTGCTCTCGAACTTAATTACTGTCACAGAAATATTCGAATATTGAAAATATTTCAATACAAATTGCTAATTGGAGAAAAATCATGCTCGCAGATCATGAGATCTTTGTCGGGTTTCGGAAGCATGGAGATACTTGCGAATTTCCATTTTCCCGGAAATTACCGCTGTGTAATGCAGCTGTTATAGATCCGCGTACACTCCGTATTTATGACCGGTAAGGCCTCCTTAAGAACAGGAGGACCTATCCGGTCAGGGCCCGGCGCCTTGCGATTACGCAACCATTTAATTGTAGTCGAAACTTCTTCGATTATACAGTGTGTAAGTGTATTGGCGCTGTCGTCCGTTTCCTCCTCATGTACCGCCTGTGTAGTGTTGTTAACAAACCTCTCTTCAAGCATGCCCGCGAGCGAAATTGCTTCGTATTTATTTATAACTTCCGATTTTTAAGGCGATTTGACTTTTCATTACTCGTGTTTTTTTCGAAGTCGGTGTCGAAGTTCCAACACGAAGCCTTCCGTGTATGCAATTAAAATAAACATCCTTGAGCAGCCCATCGCATAATTTCCAACACATTTTACGCGAAATCTCCGCTAAAAACCACCATTAGGGAGCAAGAAAACACTGTTTGTACACTGCACTCATGTTTTTTTTTTGTTTTTGTTTTTTTCCTCCCTTCTTCTTCTTCTTCTTCTTCTTCTTCTTTTTTCCTTCAGAACTGAACTTGGTACTATGAAAAAATATATAAGAGACAAGCTTGCTACATTCTTGTGGCATCGGAATCGGAAGTGTTGTTCGCTTCGTTGATCGGTTGTTTTGCTTCTGAACATAATTGTAACTTCAAATTAACTTCTCCCCATAGCACGTCACAAAGTTTTTAACTGTTTTTGACGTATATAAGAAATAAAGAAGTGTAAGTCGCAATCGAAATTACACTTGACAGTACAGTTGTAGAATATTGTCATTGGACGAAAAGATTTATTGGAAATTATGAGAGGATTCGAAAATGCACATATGTTAATCGGTAAAGTGGGAATATATTGAATTAGAACACTTACCAACGACCATTACCGATCTATTGTCATGTAAAATGTAATGTCGCCTTCAGAAACTAATAATCAGTAGTTACGCGCATGAATCTTTCATCAAAACGTATCACGTCTTCATTTATTCTTTTGTGTACATCGCACTGGGTTGCAGTGGGCGCGCTTACCCTTGAGATGTATGTTTAAAGTACCGACGTCCGGTTATTAAGTATGGAATAATCAAAGCGTTCCTGTAGTTCAATGCCTCCCGGTTATAATTCTATCTCTGTTCAGAGAGTGGTGCTCCGACATATACGCGCGGACACACACACACAGCAATATATGAATTCCTTTATTCATGAATATATTTGAATGCTGTTGATTTCTGGTCCTGGTAGTAGCCCACTTACCGTAACGTAATCGTCCCGATTCTGGTTGCCTCCGATAATTTTCAAGTTTCCAATAATTGGATAATCCCGCCATTATTACTTGTGAATATCTTGCATTTTCATTAGAGGTAGCAGTTACCATAGGTAAATGAGTGCTGTTACCGTTTTCATCCAGTGGCATGTCGGAACTGCGAGTGGTCCTACGGATTGAATTTATTTATTTATTCGCTTTAGGTGCAGGCTGTGTTACAATAGCCCGCGGAAGAATTTGTGGTTCCATTCCAGATTGGCGTTCAACACAATACTTTTCTTCAACCCTGCCCTAAATTCTTTCTCCTTTTCTCAACCTAATTTTGTTTCGTCACTTGAATCATTTAACATTTTTGCTTCATTGACGTACACATCTGATCTATAAATCATTTTTTCCCACATCTTTCGTATGTTTGGTAGTTCAATTTCTCTCAAACCATCATTGCTCAAAACTTTTAAAAATGTGTTGTATCAGAATTAGAACATGACATTTAAATTTCAGAACACCTTTTAGTAAAATAACTACATCAGTTCTAGAATAGATAGATTTTTCTGTAACAGATCTGTCAAATAACAGAGACGCGTTAGCCATTTCTACTGCAAAATTCGTAAGGTCTAAATATATCTATTACAAGTTTTGTACTTCTGCTTTTGGATCAATAACCATCTTGATCTGGTTTTTCGTAGTTTCTCTTATCAATTGAGCAAATTCTGAGATGTGCCGTTTCTTTGTTTATGAACATTCCATGCAGCTGTAGTATCTGCGCACATTTTCTTGAGCTCCATTGGGTGCTAGTAGGTAATATAGTTATTTAATTAATGTAATCATTCTCGGTGTTCGCGTGGTAGCGAGTTGCACCCTTCACGTGGGGTATGATAAGGGATAAGAGCCAAAATCTGCAGCTTAGTTGCTGATGCATATAGTTTTATTATACAGGAGTGAATGTTTCTTTTCAAGTTTATTCTACAACCAGTATTAGTATAGTTTAACAGCGAGAGTAGGGATTCCGGAGCTCAAGAAACAAATGCACAGATTGCACTTCTCCCCCATAGTAGTATGTTACACTGTTTTCAACTGTTTTGATGTTAAATAAGTAAATAAAAATAATTTAAATTTAAAAAATAGTAGTAGGGTCTACAACTGAAGAAAATTAGTGTAATGCTACTCATGAAATGTAAACAAGCGTGCCCACCTTAAAACTAGAGAAGGGGGGGCAACTAGACCCCCTTTTCCGTTAAGCTGTTTTTATCTATGACAATTTTCTAGGAAGTAAAATGTACTTCAAGGAGAATGACATCAATTAAATAATCCTATTGATTTTATTTTGAATTATTTAAGTTACAAGATAGTTAGGAGGGCTTCTTCCCAAAAAGTCCTATATCAATTCCCCAAATGTGTGCTTAAAAAAGGGGAAAATCAGGAGTTCATCATACTATCCACTGAAATATAATGTTTTATTATGTAGGGTTACTATGCTGATGCTCTGCGATGTTACCCTTTGGAAACATTCGAGGGGGTCACTGCCTCCTGGTCTGACCTCCCAGTGCATGCTTATTGTACATGTAAAGTAAATTCACCTTGCTGGAATTCTTGAATAGTTAACCTTTGTACAGGTCTGTGTAGAAGTGTGCATTATATGCTTACAAGAATTCAATATTTTGAGATTTATGCATTTTATGAGAACAAATTGTAATGTAAATTGCTACCTTGAATCTGAAAAGAAACAGAAGTAATTTGGTGTATTGAATATTATTATATAAAGGTTCAAATTAGTGAATATCAAATGCTTAATAAAATATGTTAACAAATAAATAAAAGAAAAATTCATGATATCAGAATTCAAGTTCATATTAAATTCAGAATTCATTCAGAATTAATTGCATATTAAATTCCTTACGCATATTAAATTACTAATGTTTTTTGTTTTTAGGATTGTAGGAAAGGTCAAAATAAAAACATTATTAATAGAAAGACCAATATGTATTTTGAGGAGAAATACAGGTTATGAGTCAAATTTCAAAGTAAGAGACATAATACTGAGAATTGAGGGAATGTATTTTGGTTATTCTACTTAAAGATTTATAAAAATTCAATCTGAAAACAGAAATAATATTTCTACGGCACTATGTATTTTTTCTGAAGGCTTTTGTAATGTCAATTACATATTAAAACAGAAGATGAAATTTAGGAATAAATAGCAATTCTCATAAGGATATAATAATAATAATTTAACATTCGCTGAATACAGCTGCTGTGAAACCCTTGAGTCAACATTCTTGTAATAGGAAAACTGCTGTTTGGAGCATTCGAGCATCAAATGAAACTTTGCATTAAATTGTGCATAGGCAATCTCTGCTAATAAAATATTTTTCAAAGGTAACAAATTGCTTAGTCGGTATTTCAACATACTCTTTTTATGAAAAATATTTAACAAAATATAGCATTATTTATCTGTACATTTAAGAATAGTGTGATCAAATTGGAAATCATACTCTAGCAAACATTGCTGCTTTATAACTCATAATATAATTTGACTGCTTCATTGATTTTAACATTAGGAAACTATATATATTATCTCAGAAGAGTACGATTAACTGCCAATATATAATTGGTTATTTATATTATACAAATCCTTGGATCCTTAATTCATTTGTACATTTTCTACAATAATTATTTTTGCATCTTCTTATATTGTAGAAAGTTAATAGTGAATTGATTAAGAATACTGAATAACACCTCTTGTATTTGAGAACACTCGTGTGATCGAGTGGAACAGAGGTTATTCAGCCATTATAGATCTCTTTTTTTCATTCTTTTTTGTTTGTTTTTGTTTTCTTCTTGAAGACTTTGAAGTCTTGGTAACTACAGCAGCAACTTTTGCTAGATAATGAAAACATCAACACAAAAAATATATTTTAACATTCATTTCATTGGATTTTCACATCCGCACAAGTATCAAAATTAACAATCAGTATATTATTGCAACTCTAAGAAACGTATATTGTACAATTATACAAAATACAGTGTTTATGTTCAGTTTTTCCCGAACCTGTTAATGGGTTAATACATTTTATAAATATTTGATATAATCAATTTTATTTATGTGATTTACAAAATGGTCTTTTTAATTGGATGTAAATTCCCCATTGCTGAGCACGAAACAGTTCATTGAGAACACTCAGTTTAAATGAATGAAACCTTAAAAATTGAAGGCTGGGATAGGGAATAAACAATTTGCATTTTGAGTGAAAAACACAGGAGAATTCTTAACTTGGTCAGAATGAGGCACGTTGTTTGGCACTTGATTCACTTCTAATATGTTCTTATGTTATAAAGAGGGAAATTCCCACGTTTTGAATATAATGCAAATATTTGTCTAATCATTTTGGTGCATAACACGCTCAAGGCAATTTCAAAATTCAAGACAAAATAATATTCGCATCCTCTTACTGGTATGCCAAAGTCGTACTTTGATTTAGCCCACATTAGAAGTTGGAGAAGGAAAACCGAAATAACATCGTTTCGGCGACACAAACTGAAAGCACATGTAACGTCTAGTATCACCAAACAATAATTTTCCTCCTAGTCTAGTATATCACTTGAGTGCATATCACTAATTGGCACATGAATTTGAACTTCTCCAGATTTGGAAGTGGACAGGACGTTCGAGAACGGGAGTCCTCCACATAAACGATTCCCATCATTTGCATCAGGGAACTTGGCAAAAGAGTGTTCGATTGTACTTCATTCGTCGAGCGCTATCGGTACGCGAAGTACTCGCCCCAGTCCGTTTCGCGTTGTTCTTCGCCAGGCCTAGCCGCAATGTCCTTTACAACAGTCAGCGATGATGCGAGTGGTAACTTAATAGGTCGCAATCTGATGCATCATTTCGGGCGACACTGGACAACGGTGTTGCATGTGGAGCTGTGGGACGGTTGGAAAGCGGGCGTGGTTCAGACCGCTGGCTGTCGGAAAGACATCTCAGGATCGATTCGCCTGCTGTCGCAGGCTCGCAACCGAGACTCCTGTAAGTCGTAGCTGGCACAGCCCTGGTCGCCGCCGTCACCATCGCAGACGCCGCGCGTTGTCTTTCATTTGGGGGTTTTGGGTTGGTGCCTCTTCATGTGGAGCGCCAGGTGATCCGATCGGGCAAAAGACCGCTCACACACGTTGCACTTAAATGGTTTCGCTCCTGTGTGCTTCCGGTAATGGCGGGTGAGTTCGTCAGACCTGGCGAAGCGCCATTCGCACTCTGGCCAGTGACATTTATACGGTTTCTCTCCTGTGAACATAGACAAACATTTCAAGATCATTGGGATGAAAAATGTATACGCGTAATGCGCTGTCGTTGCGGACATGCGACGATAACAGAACTACATGCTAGCTGTTGTTGCCTCCCTTCAAATGCCTGTTGCAATTAATTTGTAAAAGGAGGCGTTGTTTTTTATTACTTGTTTCCAATGTTTCTAACTTAAATTAGTTATTGATTAACACTGTTGTTTCATTCACTGCATAATAAAACGCATGAAACGAAAGATCAAGGAGAGGAGGGGAGAGGATGCCAAGCAAATATTTGTGGTGTTGCGTCCACTACGCGTGCGCTCACAGTACATTGGCGATACCTTCCAAATTTTTACGTCTCCCAACGCTACTGTCTCTTCCACATCATTTAGTACATTCATTTCTTCGCCCAATTCAAAATCATTCGTAACAGAACGTGTCATTTTGTAAATCAAGCAGCAGTAAGCAAGCAACTTCGATTCGTTTTGTTTCGCGCGTAATACAATTCTCAATATTACCAACATTTGCTCACTATAATACGTAGGTCAGTATATTTATTAGGAAACAATAAATCTAATATAATTATTCCTACAAATAAAGGAGTAAGACTAGGCTGTTCAATATCACCAACACCTTTTAACATATTAAAGGACGACTTATATAGAATAAGGAAAAATAAATCGACAAAGGTGTACAATTAAAAGATTATTTTTACATTAAGTCTATCTTATTAACTGATGACAAAATGGTGATGCAATAGACTGGAAACAAGCTACAAATGTCCATTTTTATCTCAAACAAAACCATCAAAGAATATGGACTTAAAATGTCCGATCAAAAATCATACGAAAATATTCAGTTAGATCTAAAATCACAATAGAAAACTACAGGTCACATGACCTAATCCCTGTCGGGAAGAAGTATATTTATTAGAATAATGTAATAAAATAAAATATTACACACGACGATGAAGATAGTTTATCTACTCGCGAACTTCGTGAACATTTAATCGATAATTTGCAACAATTTGGCATAAACCGCATCTCAATACATTTAACCATTTAGAAGAGATTAATTATGGTTAACTTTGGTGGTGCAGTCAGGATATTCAAGAGAAAGTTATTGCTTTTTTTCATTAAATTAATTTATGATTAATTAATTATTACAACACCTCGGTGGCTCGTTGGTTTGCATGCCCGCTTATCAAGGCGCAACCCCGGGTTCGAGTTCCGACCGGGGCCAAATTATAACTGTGCGCATTCCTTACAAATATCCCAGTATCTATTGCTGTATGATGATGAGAAAGCTCACCGTAAGGTTAAGAAGGCCAGTATTTACGGTTGAGGGATGTCTTCGTGCTCATCCTATGGCCGAGTGACTGGGCCACCGCTGTTCGACCAAGGCCCGCTTCGGGCTATCGATCAGGACAGGCACAGGAAAATATTACGGTTTTAATATTCAGAAAATTTAATTTCAATAACTATGGTTTTTATCTGGATAATCCTGATTTTCTATTCTTATTGTTCGTTCGTCTTTTTATTAACTCCACGCTCTCTAATTTTCCTTGGACTCTAACATTCCACAACAAAACCTGCCAACCCATCTCAAAGGTATAGTACCCGTTTACTTCGTGATCTAAACTTGACTTGTACGTAAAACATGTCAGCTTATATCACAATCGTGTCTTGAATTAATCGCGCAAATATGTTGCAATAATTATGCAAAGTTTTTATAAAAGCTAACTTTGTATAAAAGCTTGTTTTGTATAACTATTCTCGTTTCACTTCCTATGCGTGACATCTCGAACACATTTAGCCATTCTCTACTGATTTACTGAATATATTCGAAATTATTGTTTGAATATTAAGGACATTTAATTTCGATTTGAATAATCATCATTATATTTTATAGTGCCTTTTAGTGCTGCTTTTTTTTGTAAACGTACCACTCGTATTTTTTCTTGGGTTTGCGTTCTACATCAACGCCTGCGGATCCTCAACAAAATAACAGTACGAAGACCTGTACCCGTTAATTACAGGGAAGTTGAATTGTACGAAATACATGTCGACAGCTCGCTTATACTTTCTCCACAGCTCGTCTTTTAGGGCTCCTTATTAAATATTGATTACTTAGCCTTGGTTTTGTATAACCATTCTCGTACACTTGCAAACTCTCTGTAAATGTATCAATATTCGTAATTTAATACGTATTTAGTCATATTATAGACATATCAATAGTCGTATAGTTATTCAAAGGAAATCTTTTTAGTTTACATGTTTTACTTTGCGATATTTTTCATGTCTTCCGCGATAAGAAATCCTATACAACCGTATAATTACGCACTAGTGTAGTACGATACTTCTCTCCTGAGTAGTATATAAATGTCTTGCGATATGTTCTCTCCTCGCAAGAGATGGACCGACATATTTCATTCTTAATTATTAAGACAGTTGATACTTTATATCGGCAGATACGTTTCCGATTACAGACTGCTCTGACGCAAATCAATGAGTGCCTTGGGACTTGACGAAATGCAACCGACTAATAAACGAGTTGTTCATTACGCTTTAGTTCACGATCTTCAAAGGTGAAGGCCATGCGTTCTGCGCCCTCTATTGAAGTATAGCATCTGCCGAAAATCATCGCTCTAACTTTTTTATTTGTGAGAGGAGTGGTGTTTACTGTTGATACCCTTTGAAAATTTTGTGAGTGCAGCATTGATAATCCATATGTTGTCCTTTCACCCTTCATCATCATCATTTCATCTTCCATACCTCCAGGGCCAACAACCCTGGGGAATTAAAAGCGGACTCAGAGAAATGCTGGTCCCCAATTAAAGTTACATGCACCTGCCACCGCGATAATGAGCCACGGTAAAAGCAGGATGTATGCATGCGTGGTCCTAGTCGGCCGATTCGCGAGCAATATACATCAATGTTTACGATCGAATTTTTAAAATATTCGCTTATAATTGTTGCAATACTATGTTTTCGTCGCAATTGATCGTAGATGCCTTTTGAAAATTTTGTGGGTGCAGCATTGATAATTCATATTCATACTATATACAAAGGTACATGTTTCTGAGGGTTTACGATCGACTTTTTTTTCGCTTATAATTGTTACAAAACTGTTTTTGTCGTAACAATCTACGAGTTAATTTTCATTATTTACTAGGCTGTCCGGGTGACGCCGCGTCCATGGCGAAGGTGCCGACGTTTCGGTTGCCATTCTGCGACCGAAATGCGGCATTACGCCCTGAGGAAGGTCGCAGAATGGCGACCAAAAGGTGGGCACCTTCGCCATGGACGCGTCGTCACCCGGACAGCCTAGTAAATACTGACTCCGGCCGCGGAAGCCTACTCTCTCACGAGTTAATTTTCCTTGACGAGACAAAGTTTATAATTCTCATCACATTTATGTTCATTTATACTTTCTCACAAACTACTTACGTAGTATAGGGAGAGTATAGTAATGCTGCGGCAAAAACAGCGATTTTTGTCAGGAACATTCGCATTTTGCGGCCCTGGTGTAGAAAAAATGGATAAATCTCGTTCCTATATGTAGTAAATCACTTCTTGCAACATGTTGTGTGAGCCCTCGACACCAAAAATTTGATTGACGGCAAAACGCTCGTCCGTTCATGATCAACGCTTGCACCTAAATCGTTCAGCCGATTTTCTTCAAAATTGATATTCCCCGATAGATTTAAACGAACTCGAGGCCCCGTGACTTTCAAACGGATATTTCCATTTTGGGGAGCACTTTACATGACACTACGACATTTTCAAATTTTTATCAAAAAGTCTCCAAACTCGTTATTACGCCTTTTCCTCGGATAGAGAAACGGTCGCTTAAAAAATGGCGCAGGTCTCACTTTCATTGAACTCTCTGAATTTTCGAAAATTGCAATAGTTACAAATAATGCGAGAAAGTATGTGGTGTTGAAGCACTGGATTTTTTGTTTACTTGGTTGTACTATTAGTCCGTGACTTGGGCAGCGACCACAAGGCACTAGGTCGTCGAGAAGTCATATAGAATTAGCAATGCTACAGTGTCATCGCAATTCCGAAGGCGGTGGAGTTGTGGCTACGCCTTGGGGTCGTTGCCCAAGTGACGGACCTCGTCCATCAACCGATCGGCGTGTACACACACACACACACACACACACACACACACACACACACACACACTGCAGGCACGAGTACAAGCGGCAACATGGCACGCGCGCATACGTACGCGGACGCGCGAGAATCAAACATGCGCGGCGTATGTGAGTGCATGTGGGTATGATAGCTCGCCCTGCGGTGGCCCTCGCCGCGCCGCGCCCCTCCTCGTCTTGTCAGGAAGGTCCTTGCGCGGCCGTCCCACGCATGGCAATCGAGCGCCGCCCGTGATTACGGAGTACGAACACGCGCGCCGGGACCCGGGAACGGAGAACTGGCGAATAGCGAAACACGAACATAAATCATCCATGATTCATTTCGGCGTCGCATTTTCAGCACACAAAAAAAGGTGATTCTAACGCAGCCTGAGTGAATTGTGAAACGCGTTTTTTTATGTGTAAATGCTGGTACTAACGACTACGTATCGTATTCGAATAAATAAATAACGAATGTTGCTTACCCCCTCACGAGCTTACGAGCTCGGCACCGAGTCACCGAAGATTATCACTTGACGAAGTGCAACTCGTCGACGCCGATTTCTCGCCGAGTGTACTTTGATTTTTCAAAAGTGGCCGATACCATCAGGTATTTGTTACACGTCCTGCCTTATAAAATGAATCTTTTTAACAGTGGTAAGCACATTTCGAGCCCCGTTGAGAAGAACGTTCGCGAATTAATTAGTCATTTTATAACGCAAGAGTAACAATGACTTAATGTCATCGGCCACTAAAAAAAAACCAAAAAACAACGAATTATACTAGGTGCTGAGCGTCTTCGGAGACGCCTTCGACCCCAAAGGGCACGGGCTGGGGACGGCGAGGGGGTGACCACGCGACGC